ATTTGAAAGAAGAAATAGCAATTATAGTTATAATTTTTATTTTTTCAGCATGTTATTGCTTGATGTTTAAATCTAAAGAAAATATAACTAGAAAAATTCCAAGCGGACCAGCGAACATCAAGCAGTTACATGCTTAAAAAATAAAAATAATTAATAAATATTTCCAACAACCTAAGTTCCAAATTACGATCTTGGGAGAGTTTTTTTATTAGAGCGAATTTTTTGCTCAAATTGCACAAGGGTATAAATTTGGCACTATTTTCGTCCTTATCATCCATTTTACGCAAGGTAGATTTGACGACCTTTGAACAGCAGGAACAGGTTTGTAAATATAAATTGTAAGCAATAAGATGATTACTCGTCCTCGGCAGTGAGTGGCGGTCAAGGTTACGTATTGTAGACTAACAGGATCACTACAAAACAGGTCAGAGAGATATCTCATCTAAATGATTGAAAAATCCAAAATTTGGTTGCGTTGATGCTATTAGTTTGCTAATACCAAATTAATTGGAATTGTTTTGGAGTAGGCTAATTTGTATTTTTCCTTATTTTTTTTTAAATTGGGCGAGCGCGCGTCTCTCCCTGTGACTTGTCCATAAAATATTCGCGATTGATCTCTTTGGTGATTGTAACTTTTACTAACAATATCCAGATTACAAATTGAAATCCCTTTAATCCCTGCTAGGGATTAAAACGCAATTTTGGTCTCTAGGGATAAAAATGCTATTTTGTGCCCTTGGAATTAAAACGCTTTTTTGATTCTTGTAATCAACAAACTAGCTCTCTTCAAATGGTTGTGATAAAAAAAATATATACCAGCCACTGGGCCCGCGTGGAGAGTCATGACCCAGTCCTCCTATTCCATAAAAAAGGTTCCCTTCTCACCAATCCGCACGGCATGGGCCATGTGCGGAATGCTCCAAATTCGGAATGGGCCCAGTGTGGAATGAGCCCAGTGCGGACGCTCCCGGTCCATCACTTATCATACAAAATTTTAAACCAAATATACAACCCCCGCCTTCAGTGGTCGCCCACCTCGCTGCTCACCTAGCTAGTCGCCCAGCTACCCGCTTCGCTAGGTTGTGACGGTAAATCTTCGCGTAGCTCCCATCGTCTGAAAAGGTACTTCGATCCAAAAATATATAATAATTCCAATCCAACATTTGATTTTTGCTTAAGAATTCCAAAAGTGAAAAGGTTCACCGCCCATTCCAAATAAATTATAGATTGAGAGTTGGGCAATAAATAAATTAATAAAAAATAGTTAAAGTAGTAGACGAAACGTTGATTTTGGAAAAAGCCGATGAGTTAATTAAAGTTATTTATACAGAATGGTTCATTAGTTTATTGCATTTTTAATTATAAGCATTTAACTAAAAACTTCATAGAAAAAAAAAATGTATTACAATATTGACATTACCACTTCATAAGTTTTTTTATAGATTGGTCCGACAAATGACTCCACCCCACCTGATGTTAAGTGATGGTAAAGTCCAGCCGTGAAGATAGCTAGTACAGCAGTTCTACCTGCCACACCAGCCATCCTCACCTTGCCGGCCTGCATGTTGCTTCTTCACGCCTCTTTTAAAGGATCTCAGGTTGTAAGAAGGAGGGAACACGTGAGCGGGCAGAGCATTCCATTTACGGATAGTGCGACAAAGAAATGAGTCACAAAATTTCTTTGTACGCGTTGGAATTGTGGCCAAAGTTAGACGGTGACACCGAAGGCCAGCGCGCGTGGTCCTCTGAAGGAAAGGGGAAGGTGAAATAAGAGAGAATAACTCTTCAGAACACGAATTGTGAAGTGAATTGCAAATGACTGAATTTGGGGCAGTTCGATTTGTTTGAAATCAACAACTAGCGTGGATCACACGTTCTTCCATCGCCTTTACTGTGATCATGGTTGGCCAAGATTCACGTACTGGGTACGGACGTAAAATGGTGCAAACAAGCGTATTGCCCGCCTGATGATTAGCGGCCACCTTAGCCTACAGACGCTTGGGATACCAAAAATATAATTCGCGCATTAACGTTTCCTACCCTGACCTGAGTTTCTATCTCCGTGGAGTCCTATCTCTCCGTAGATATGTATAAATAATGGTGGTATGCTGATATTGATGACCAATTATGGATGACAAAATGTGTGAAACCGACCTATTCAATTCAAAATTCAATATCGTTTATTCAGTCTAGGCTGTTACAAGCACTTGTGAATGTCGAAAAGCTACGCCATCGGTTCGCAAATCTACGGCGGGAGATATTGTACTGAGAAGAACCAGCAAGAAACTCAGCAAGGGCTGTTTTTTTCTCCCTGTATTATCCCTTATTCAGTCGTCAAATTGAAAAATGACTTCAATATGAGGTAACTCATGAAGTAAAAAGTTTAGTACAACGATTAATACCCAATGAAGCAAGAGCAGACTCATCTCCGCTGGCAGCACCCGTTCACGAGCATGACGCATGAACCAGCCATCGCCAAATAAAAAGATTGTTCCTGAGGTACGTTTAGAAAGGTAGAGCATAGCTATTTACCCGCTCGAATTGAAGGACCTGCCTGGAGAAGTAAACTCTATCTTACAGAAGGTCACAGTAAAATAACACTGCCTTTTGGTGGTATTGTGTTTCTGTCGGTGAGTAAGGTCCTAGGGCTCCACGGGGGGGGGGGGGGGGTCGCACGCAGGTGCGTCGGCCCCGAGACGCCCTCATATGGGCGTAGGAGGGTACCGGTGGGTTTTAGTGGAGTAGGATCAGTGTGGCCTTCCGCACTGGTCCTGCTTGAGTAGGGTCGGCACTGTTTCCCGTGCCGGCGAGTCCCACACACGCCGTGCGCCTAGTCAGCGTCACGGTATGGTGCGTAACTGCATTTCCCCTCGTCACAAAAAAAAAAAAAAAAAAAAAAGGGCTCCACGGGGTAGGGGATCGGATCAGGGTAGGCAATGGTGCGAAGAATATTTATTGGTGGCCTATGGTGGCCGTCTAGTATCCGGTGGGCCATAAGGTTATTTTAAAATAATAGTGGTAGACAGATATAACAATATTTAAGACACACCCCGAAACAGATTTTTACTGCGGTTAAATCACGTTACTAATAGAAACTCTTAATAACATGAAAAAGATAAAAGATTTTTTTGTGTATTTCCGTACATCACCCTGCCAATACAGGCCATTATTAAAAAAAGTTAGAATCATGTTTCCATTGTCAGCCTTTTCATACGTCACCCTAAAAAGTAACTATAGTTTTCTTTTCGTTGAACATCTACTGCATAAGTGCATTTTGTAACCATTCGTAGTTTACTTCACACGAAAGTCTGGCATGACTTGCGTTTTTTCAACTCTGCATAAAGTCTCTTTTGTCTCTTTCTGTAATATCTTAAAAGAGTTTGTTATGAAAATGCCTGGAGTAACATTAAATTGCAAATTTTCAACTTATAAGTTTGAATTCTCTTTTGTTATGTTGTTCTTTCTATAAGATTAAGAGATTTCCCATTTCGAAAGGTTTCAACAAATAACTAATTAATTAATCGTACAAACGCGTTTCATATGTATATATATATATATATACATTGATATTTGTACTTAGCACACCGGACAAATCCTTGCGATTTATGGCGTGCTTTTTAGCTATGTAATTGTAATTTTTGATATGAAATAAGTAAATAATAAATGGGTGCGTGTACTTATGTAGGCGCGTGAGAAGTTATCCTTCTTTGGCATCGTTTAAAATTAGTTTTTAATTGCATGCAAATAATTAATTACAATAAATTAATAAAAAGTCTGGAAAAGGGCACAGTCAATAAAGTTCAGTTTTAATTTGAAAAAATAAATAAATAATCAAAATATTCATTAAAATCGCTACTGAATATAATTTATTAGAACATATGTGATTTGCACTTGTATAAAACTCAAACACGTATTCCGAATATACAAACTAGAAACATGTGGATAAATATTATAAATATGAATACCTATAACTGTTACTTTATTACAAAAAATTAAGATGTGGTTTTTGGTTCTACTACACCAATGGTCAAGAGATGGCGCTGTAGTCTCCTGAATCGCGCTTTGGTTCCGTTGTTCCAGATTAATAAATACTTTTGATAGGCCTTCACAATGCAGTCGTTAGCACCCACTAAATAGAGATTCTATTTCTATTTTGTTGGTAGATTTTCTTAATGTGCGGTAAACACAAAAGGGTCGCTAAAGCGACCAACTTCATGCTGTTAAAATTTTGTGTTACAGTGATGCGCGCGCGCATCTTAAAATTTCACTTTCATCATTTTTTCATAACGCGCCTAAAGAAGTATAACTTCAATAAATAATACGTGCTTTTTGTACAGAATTTTAGCAAACTTGTCAATTTTCCTCGAACGGGGGCAATTTATAACTTATTTTGATAGTTAATAGATCAAGTTCATATTTTGCTGGTATTTATTCTCAGAAACAACTAGCAGATCGTGTTGTGTTGAATAAAAAACACTTTTTGTCATCAGCAAATATATTTTTTACTTAGAGTATTTTAAATTTAAATATTGTTATATTTATAAAGTTAATAAGTGATAATAAGTACATATATCTCCCATGAGGATTTAAATCTGATTTCGCGATATCTCAACTGTACTATCAGAATAAAGCTTAAACAAGGAAGTGTTTGGGCGGAATTAACATTTTCCTGGTTTTGTACTACCGTGAGACTTAAATCCAAAATCTATAACGCTAGACTACTATCTGGGCAGTAAATTTATTTGATATCCACTCCTCTCGCATTCACTTGCGATAAAAAATTAGCTTTATCGTCCAACGCTGGCGTCGCATTGGGGCGCGGAAAAGCTCAGGGTTTCGGACGGTCAATGTTGCGTTGATATAGCGGGATCATCGTCGGGTTGTATGTGTGTGTAGGGCAGGAGTAGGTTCACAGATCGGGTCCACAATGCACGTTGTTTATCCGCTGGGGCGCGGGCGGGACGCGGCGCGAGGGCGGCGGGGCTCAGGCCGGGCCCAGTCAGTCGCCGCCGCTCGCCGCATCCGCACGTCCCGCGAGTGCTCCAGTGCCCTACCTAACGCTGACACTCCGACCTTCAATCCGTGGGAACGAGACGTCTATATCAGGTACGTCCCAAAACCAAAAAAACGCCACATCAGCGATACACGTTGATTAATTAGATTTTTTTTAAAAGCTCCTGTTCGGTTAGCGTCTAATCGAAAATAATGAGTTTTTACTACGGCTTCGTAGCGTCGACCGTAGCAGATTTCCGAGGTTCGACGGAAGCATTTTTGCGTCCGCATCGCGTCCGATAATTGACAGTGTTTTCACGGTCAGGACAAGGTCTTTGTGGGAACGGGGTATGTGGGCCCGTGGCAGAGTCGATATGGTCCTAGCGTCTTCGTTGTCTGCAATGCTGTCGGTTGGCGGGGTGTGTTTTGTTTCCGGGGGAATTTTGTAGATGTATAAACTATGTTATTTATTTCTAAGATTCTGCCGAACTATTTTTTGCTTGTTTACAGCTTTCGATGAAAATAATAAATTACAGGTGTCCTTACTTTGTCTTCATACATAAATTAGAAACATATTTATTGAATATAATTATTGAAGTAGGGACATATTAAATAATTTAATTTAATAGCAATACTTGGCTTTCACGGTCAACACAGCTTTATATAAGTAGGTTGTTATCATCGATGAGCTTCAAGTCTGCGGCACGTGCAAGGACAATGACAAGGCTGTATATAATCTAGTAACCATTCCTAATTTAACAAAAAAGATTTTATACGAACCTTTTCTTTGCAAGTAAAAAAAGGAAGTTTGCATATTTAAGACACGGTGAAATAGTATTTCATTCTAATGCAATTTCAAATAACAATTCTTGTAAGCATAGTCTTTTGTGTGGATTGGAAGGGCATAGGTTTCGTTTTTCTTTTGAATTCGTTTTATATTTGCCCTAACTTTTGTCATTGTTGTGTTTCTTTCGGTGATTATGGTTCCTGGTCTCCACGGGGTAGGGGATTTAGTTCAGCCCAGCAAGGCGAAGATAGCTTAATGGGGTATATTTCATTATCGCTTCTAAATTTGCGACTGGTTTTACATACGCTTACGATCACGAGTAAAATATATAAAATATAAGAGCACAAGAGATAAAGCTCCGCCATACAGAAAACTATAGACATAATATATAATTTTACGAGTAAATTACTGATTACTGTTGTGCCATGTTCCTACAGTCAGCAAAGTTTCCAAGGTGATAAAATGTAGATCGATACAAATCAAGGGATTTTGGCATATGAAATGAAAAATGAAAATGGTTTTTATTTCCCAAAGAGTCAGTTTACAGTACAAGTTGAGACAACCCAGAAAGTAATAATTAATTCTTGTGTTAAGATGCCTCGCTCTTATATATCGGGCACAAGACAGATAAACTGAGAATTAAAGTTATAAACAATACAAAAGACAGATAAGTTATGTAACTTAATCATTCATAATACCTGTATCCATAACTGCGCCGATAACGTTCATATGACCTTAACCAGAAGACCACAGAAAAATTACCACTTTTTGGTGGTGTAGTTTATTCTGTTTTATTAAATTAACAAGCGGCCCGCCCTCGCTTTGCTTCAGTGTAGATCTAAAGTGTAGACAACAGTTTTTGTTCTCAGGCTTGTATTATACACAATGACATTCATCTATGATTCTTCTTATCCCGCAAAGTCTCAGCCCGATGAATTTAAAAATGACAAAGTTTTATACAAACTTTTATTCATTATTTTATCCCCTTGGGGGTAGAATTGATCAAAATCCTTTCTTAGCGGATGCCTACGTCATAACATCTACCTGCATGCCAAATTTCAGCCCGATCAGTCCAGTGGTTTGGGCTGTGCGTTGATAGATCACTATGTCAGTCAGTCACCTTTGAGTTTTATATATATAGATTAATATTGTTAATGTGGAAGGTTCTTGTATATTTGTATGTTTCTTACTCAGTCACGCAAAAAGTACTAAACGGATTTCAATGAAATTTGTTACGCATATAGTTTATGACCTGGATTGAGACATAGGATACTACATATTATAACGGAAAATGTTAGGTCCCTGTGGGTTTCTCAAAAAACTAAGTTAACGCGGACGTAGTCGCGGGCGGCCGCTAGTAATAATTATTTTGTGAGAGCATTCCAGCAGATTATCTGCTGTACCCTTTTTTTCGATGAGGGGGGGGGGGGAATGCATTATATCCACGACAATGAGCAACGCCGCGTTAGTTAGCTGTAAACAAACCCCTCCTCCTCCGACCAGCAGCCCGGTCCGCACCCACTTCAGCCGATCCTGAGCTTCTCCATTCACAGTATCAACTGACTAGTTCCACGGACCGCAATCTGAGCGGCTAGCCAGCTGAGCTGCTTCCGTACCTACCAGGTTAACCTACTCCCAGATCAACCCCTCACCCTCCAGGGGGCCATTCGCCTAACGGAAAGGCTTTGGAAAACGCTAACGCTTTTGATTTCAATTTGTTATTACTGACCGCCGAAGGTTTTCAAATACCTCACGCTCATTTTCTTTAATATTGTTATTACCAATGCAAAAGAAAAAAAAAAGAGCGCGAGGCATTTGAAAACCTCAGGCTGCTAGAAATAACAATATGAAATCGTAAACGTTAGCGTTTTCCACAGCATTTCCGTTAGGCGAATGGCCCCGGAGTGGCATTCTGTAAAGACACACATTTCACTTTCGAACGCGGATCCGTTACGGATTTTATCATTGGCATTCTGTAGTCAAGTGAGAATCAACGCTAGCGCTACTAGGCGAGAGTGGCGGTGAAATGAACTAACGCAGGATATAGCTTGACAATATGCTCAAGGATTTGAAGTTTAATGGCATTCTGTAACGAATTTTACACTCACTTTCGGATCCGCACTCGAATGTTATGTCAAAGTGACTTAGTGTGTAGCTATGGCAATCAATCAAACAAACTGCTAATAAATTACGATTTTTGTTTATAGAAGATCTTTTAAAGTAAGTATTTTAATGTAGGTCTCATTGTTTATTTAATAATTCAAAAACTCATGTCCACCTATTTTTTGAGATCTCACTTATTGCCTTGTGCTTAATATTAATGTCAAGAAGTATAAATGAAATTGCCTCAATTTTAAGTCATCCAGACATCGTAAAAATATATAACATTTCTGCGAAATGCATCAACACCAAGTGTTAAGGAACAGTAAGTAAACTCTGATTAACTAGAATAACCAATAAGTTAAATATTATATTATAAATCAAGTAGACCAGTGTTTCTTATAACTTTTACAATCCTGTACAATATCAGAATTCTAAAAAATCTATGGCCCGTGTCTTAAAGTATTTTAGTAATGAAATCATAAAAAAATACTTTTATTGGCAGTTTCTTTAGTAAAGTAAATATTAAATGAGCTATTCTTTACCTTTGTTACAGTTTTTTTGAGAAATTTCAAATACGTGGAGTTGTTGGTTGCATAGATGGTATCTTTGTCACCATGATACGACCCAAAGAAAATGAAGAACGGTATTATTGTCGTAAAGGTAAGCATGCAAGAAATGTTCAAGTAGTAAGTACCTACACCTTTAACTGATTTTCATCTATTTGTTACTTTCTTAAAACTTGTCATGATTCATGAATATATAAATAAATAAGATTATGTAAAGATAAATTAAAAGACTGGAATTAAATTTTGTAAATATTTTGTTACAGATTGTTGATGCCGATCTCAATGTTTTGCATGTCGATGCCTCATTTGTTGGAGCTAGCATGATAGGTTTATTTGGCACTGAGGTTCTTAGAGAAACTTTAGCTAAATCTCTATTAGCTGCCAGGAACTCGATCAAACATTAAGCTGCTCTACAGAGGGATGCGACGATTGTGACACCACTGCAAAAAACAGAAATGATTTTAATATAAATTAAAACTTCAGTAATCAAAACCACATTTTATTTAACTTACTTCATCTCGCCTCTCTTCTACAGTTTTTCAAATGAGCCAAAAACAAACTAAACAATGACCGCAATACGTTTGGAAGTGGATTTTCTTAACAAATATAATTTCCACATTGAACTTTTGGGAATATTAGATGAGATTTCTATATGGAAAAATACCGCTTTTGATAAAATCGCGCAAAACCTTAGTGGGTATTTGCATTCGTTTACCAGGGTGCGTTCCAAACTACGCTCTAGGTGAAACAAATGTCAAAATTGACATCAGTTTCATACTTTTTTATGCAACGATATTAAATACCCTAGATGCAACACGTGCGCTCAAAATGTGTCCCAATCAAGAAGTGCTTGAACACGACTCTAGCACTACTTGACTCATAGTTACGCGCGGACTGTTGAAAATCAAGATGCCGCAAAGCTCCGTGAAAAAATGCATAATAAATACTTATAGTACGTAAAGTGTCCTTTATAGGTATCTAATAAATGTTTGTAAATTTAACGCATTTGAAGCAAATAATTATGTTCTAATACTTACTATAAATTGATTTAATAGAAAAAAATGGGTGCGTGTACTTATGTAGGCGCGTGAGAAGTTATCCTTCTTTGGCATCGTTTAAAATTAGTTTTTAATTGCATGCAAATAATTAATTACAATAAATTAATAAAAAGTCTGGAAAAGGACACAGTCAATAAAGTTCAGTTTTAATTTGAAAAAATAAATAAATAATCAAAATATTCAATTAAAATCGCTACTGAATATAATTTATTAGAACATATGTGATTTGCACTTGTATGAAACTCAAACACGTATTCCGAATATACAAACTAGAAACATGTGGATAAATATTATAAATATGAATACCTATAACTGTTACTTTATTACAAAAAATAAAGATGTGGTTTTTGGTTCTACTACACCAATGGTCAAGAGATGGCGCTGTAGTCTCCTGAATCGCGCTTTGGTTCCGTTGTTCCAGATTAATAAATACTTTTGATAGGCCTTCACAATGCAGTCGTTAGCACCCACTAAATAGAGATTCTATTTCTATTTTGATGGTAGATTTTCTTAATGTGCGGTAAACACAAAAATTTTGTGTCACAGTGATGCGCGCGCATCTTAAAATTTCACTCTCATCATTTTTTCATAACGTGCCTA